AGTTGCACACTTGCATGGTGTGCACATTTTAAACGTTTTGCAAACGTTTCAATTCAGCACACTTGGACACACACAAATCTATAGGAACCATATGGTGTGAAGCTGCTATATTTTTCGGAAGTGTCGAAAGTTTAACCTAGGTAGATCACAAGGTGTTGAGAAAATGCACACTTGAACTTAAACTCCAATTGACGTGCAGCATTAAACATTTGCTTTACCAGTGTATAGTCGTAAATTTTGCATATTTGCACCAGAACAGTTGAATAGTAATGCGTCCTCATCCTAAATCTTCGCTAGACCAAATCCACCAAGTCAGCAGGCTAGAAAAGAGCTTGTCTACTAACTACAATAGGTAACAGTGGATTTTTCTTTTGGCTGTCTTAATGTGGCCGACTGGTAGAGGTGTGCGAACTGAGGTTTTTCAAAGTCGAATCGAATCGAATCGAATCTACCCAGATTCGATTCGATTCGATTCGAATTCGAACTGTTCGCACACCTCTACGACTGGCATTTTGTTTTGCACGGATCTGAACTAACGACTGACGGGGTGGTTAAAATAATTGTGAGGTGAATGTAACCTGACATTTTGTCACACTTAGAAGCTCATGGCGGTGTGATTAGCTCGACCAATCACAGCCATTGCGCAAAGAGGAAAATCAGTGAGCCCATATTGCAGTCTCTGCTGACGGGTGAGGTGTGTGGGTTGGGTGGGTTACGCGAGGCGAAACACGCGATGACATGGCGTGCGCGAGTGTGCTGTCCACGTCTATCTTTTCACTTCCGCTAGAAATAGACTGAGGTACGTTTTTCCGTTTCCCACTCAACAAACTTAGAGGCTATGGGAGTGAGCCCGAGTGAGCCATAAGCCATATTAGCAGGCAGACGGTTGAATCTTTGTTTATCGCAGTTCTCTCGCGGGCCAGATACACATGAAGCTGTTTGTCATGTGTGACATGAGCGGTCGGGGACGACGGGCGCCCCACAGATGGCGTGACTCGGGACG